ATGATTGGTTTGGGGTCGGAGCGAGAAGAGTCACGAAAAGGGACTCTGTGAGCGTTATCGATGTCGTTAATAGTAATGTTAGCGCCCATGTGATTGAACAGATTTACGCAAAGATTACTGGTTTCGGAGGCGTCTTCATTAGCTTTTAGCTCAGGGACTCCGAGAATTTTGATGTTGAAGGCGTAGCTCTTGTATCTCGTTGTATCTTGTTCACGGCAATCTCCAGCTTCCCGAGGTTTTCCTCGATGTCGTCAAGTCGTTTCCGAATACCATGCAGCTCGCTCTTGAAGCTTGACTCTGAATCATGCAGCCATTCTAAGCTCCTTTCCGTCTCCATTTGGGCTTCCCGTCCGCCATTAGCTTCTTCTCTGACAACCAACTCTTGAGCACCAACCCGCTCCTCTAGTGATTTTATATCACATCGAGCAGAATCGAGCATTCTCTTTAGATCCTCATTACTTTTCCTAAGCGATTTGACTTGTTGATGTGACATTATAAGTGCCTAAATTGACTTTCTTGAACGCTTTAAGCAGAGCTTCAAAAAGTATGTCTGACCGTTACGCACACATGCGCATCAAAATGGGATACGCCGTGTATCAGCTCAGCCAACAAGCAGGCGTGAAATTTCCCGCCTTTCTTTTGGCTGTCAATCAAAGTTGTATCATCCAATGGAGTGACCACAAATTTCCCGCTTTGCACACGTAGTTGGCATTGCTCCTCTAGCGATCCTCGAAACGTCAAAACAAGTGAAGATGGAATGGATTCAGACAGTGACATCGGTGAATTAATAGAACTTCAAGAATCTTGTAGCAATGGAATCAAGTGACAGATTTCGAACAGCAGCGACACTAGCGATGCTGATGGGTGTCAGAGAAAAGCGAGACGACCAAAACTGAGGTGAAGACCGACAAGACAAGTGCGTCTTCCTTCGTGTAAACATCACTACGAAGAGGACACCTCGGATGATGACGGGCTCTTTGATTCAATTAAAACAGTTTCAGATTGCAGCAAAATAGTTTCAGCAGCAAAAGATGGGTTTGCATCTTCGAATGAAAGCGAAAGTGGTTTAGCAGATCTTCCACGTCCGTATGTGCCTTATATAAAAGGAAGCGACCAACGATTGGCAATCTCCTTCGTCTCAAGATACAGAAAACAAGCAGTTGTCCACTTTTTCGGTTGATAGTGATTGTAGTGGTCATACAGAGATCAATGCTGCAGTTGTGAATGAAGAAACAGAAGATCAAACTCGCGCATATCTGTTGTCCAACTCTAGCGGTTCAAACGGTGAAGAACTTGATTCGTGCGACGATTCGAGTCGAAACGATAGCAGTTCAGATGATAGTGACAAGGATTCTTTCATTTCGGACGATGGAAGTGATCGCGCAAACGTATTTACGAAGAGCATTTACGAAGGATCTAATTTGTCTGTAGGTGCAAGTTGTATTCTCATTACACAGTTTAGTCGCAAGTACAAGCTTCCCCGTAAAGCTCAGAATGATCTACTCACTTGACTTAAGTTACATTGTCCTGAGGGGGTTGAAATTGCTTTACCCCAAACTTACAAGGAACTGTTAAAAAAGACTATGCCATCACTAGCCAACATTGCGAAAGTACGGGTTTGTTCGATTTGCAGAATAGAAGGAGATGCCACGGAGTGTGAAGATGGACATCCCGTGGGAAGACCAACTAAAGAGGATTCATACTTCATCGAATTACCCCTGGAACCACAGCTGAAAATGATTATTGAAGGTAACCTTTTAATCATTATGTTATACGAGGTAGATAGAACTTAACATTACCAGAAAGTAATCAATTCCTGCGCCTATAAATTTTTAACCTGTCAACGGCTCGCGGTGGGCATGACAACACAGTTTGAATGAGAGGCTCGATCACGATTTAATATACAGCGGAGCCCCTCTATTTTGTATTCATAGAAGAGAACACTCTGATTTTTCAGTATAACCAAAAACTGATGTGGAAAGGTTAGTTTCAGTGTAACAAACTCAACTGCGGGGCCAACCCAAACATTATTGACCAATGCACAACATTGGAGTCTGGCTTTGATCGTTCATAAGCCAATCCAAAAAGAGAATTATCTCTACAATTCAAAGTGTTGGCGGGTCCGGCTGAGTTCATTGCACTTTAAAAGATAATCAGTGGCTGTTTGAGAGAGTGGACACTGTGCAAGCAAACAAAGCATGCAAGCCATGGGTGTGAGCCATACCAAAGTTCTTACCATGCTACAGAAATACAGCCAATCAGATTGCAGGAAAGCTGTTGTATATTTGTCAGAATTTCCCCAAACCTTCCTATCATGCACTGAATTGATTGTGTAAAGCTATTATGACATGGTATAAAATAGGTATGTATGACTCTCTCACGATATACTGTAAGTATCCCACTTGTCACTTGTAATTTCTTTGCATACTTGCGGCTGAAGGCTTGTGTGTGTACAAAGAAAATACAAGTGACTTGTGGGATATTTCAAATTATATTAGGTTACTCTGCATACTTAATGTCAGCATCATGAAGTGTCCCAAACCATTTATATTCCATGGAAACATCTTATCAGCGTTTACCTCTTGAGCTTTCAATGTTGCTTCACATCTCCTCGTCACATTACATCTTCGTGTATAGGTCACAAAGTGTCTTATGAAATGATACAAAAATTATCACTTAAACTGCCTTTGTCTTGACAGAAATTATTCTTGCACCCTTATTACTTTAACAAGCTCCAGTCATAAATATTTAATCAGTTAATTAGTTTATCAATTGAATCATCTATCGTGTCAAGGTATCATTCTGTGTTTAGATAAAAGAGAAAATAGATGAAAAGTTTCTCCTTTTTGTTTTGTTATTCTCAGGTCCAAATGTAATTGCTTTTCAGAGAACTTCTCAGAAATTTTTGGAGCTTGCAGAAAGCAGGTCCTGGAATGGACTGAAGAAGCAAGCTCTTATAAAGACATCACGGATGGAACCTTATACAAGAATTTTTACAAGGAAGTACACAGTGAAAGTGGAGATAGAACATGTTGTCACTTAAGTTTGATGATTAGTACTGATGAAGCTCCTGTGTTCAAGTCCATTCAGTGCTCTATTTGGCCACTATATCTGTGTATTTTAGATCTTCCATCACAGAAAAGGTTCCTCTATTAATATTTTCCTATATTCCTGCTACTGTGATGCACACAACCTTTTATTACATGTACAATCATGTACAGTAGGTAGTTGATGGTCATTTCCATTGTCAGCAGATAAATTTATATGTGGAGTGGTGGCCATATTTTTTCACCGCATACATGCAATTAACCAATTTTTTTCCAAAACTGTACAGAAATTTTAAACTTGAAAGATAAATTATGCCTTGAGCAGGATTTGAACCCACATTCACTGGAACCTAGCCAGGTATTATCAACACTGCACTACCAGGACAAGCAATTATTGCTAGCAACATTATAACTGATTTTAGCAGTGAATGGGAGTAATATATCGTAATGGAATTCTGAGCTCAGCTGCGCTGGTATGAAGCTGGATTAACATGTGTTTCACAGGCCAACAAGGGCAAACAACACAAATAATAGACATGTTAATTACTTCTCTTGAGCTGTGTTGGCAAAAGAAATGTTGTTGGCTCAAGACAATTCATTAATTTGTTATTACATTGTCAGTTTATATAATGGAATGTATAATTCATGTTCTCCGCCTCTCCATCTTTTAGTGATACCTCTTATTATTATATGTTCAGAATTCGGTGAAGAATGTTCTTCTCATTGGACTTTGGTATGGTGTGAAGAAACCCAAAATCAATTCCTTTTTGGAAGCATTTCTTTGCAAAATTGAAATGCTGGAGACTGAAGGTAAACATTCCAAAAGTAGTTTTTGGCTCAACTTTATTTTGCTCTTAGAACACAAACTGCTTATCAATCCAGAGAGCTTTTATCGTTTACACTCCTACGTTAAAAAAAAATACAGAATCGAGGTCAGGAAAAAGGGAAACAATAACAGTAAGTTAAAGGTCAATCTGGAAACTCCATTTAGATTGGCAAATAATATTTTTTGTACATATTCATAATCATCAATAGCAATTTGTTGTTCCCACGGAAATTACTGGAGTGATGAAAAGTACAGCAGCATCACAGTTGTTCTTATCTTTCAGGTCTTCTTGTATGCAACAAATGGGAAGATGAATTCATAACTTTCAAAGTGCATCTGCACTGCTGCATATGTGACCGGCCAGGAAAAGCCCTTGTCTTCCTACACAAGCTTTATAATGGATTGTTTGGTTGTATGGTATCTATTCATTTCTAATAATTAGAAATTATTGCGACTTTACATGTACACTTTTTCCTGCATTACATCTGAAGGGACAATTTCTGCTGCTTTGTTCATATATGTTATTATTACATGTAATTTGTATAGCTACTCACATTGTAACATGTGTTTTGCTGCATGCATTCTGAAAGGTCTGTTTTCACCCTGGAGTCAGACTAGACATTGCTGGAAATGTCAGAGTATATCCCTATGCAGGTGACAAATATGAAATGAGAACAAGTGAAGCTACTCGACAGCATGCATTGATTGCACAGCTATCGGGTAAATATGTAAGTGCAATTTTATGATTCTGCAGACCATGCAATAATGCAAACTGTTTGGGTAGGGGTTTCACTAAAATGTATTGGAGGTGGGACGGTATTGTAAACTAGCAAGAGACATCAGAAGGCCCTGTCTGAGGAAATTCTGCACGCAAATTATTTTAAGTTCTAGACTGTCACAGTCACACGTCCCTGCATTCTAGGAAAATAATATTAAGACCTCTCTGCATTGATAACCAGTCAACTAGTTTTAACACACTTCAGCACCAGATGGTTAATTCATGTGAAGTCATCTGTTGTCTCCCTTGTGATATTATAGGTGTTTTGTGTGAAGGGGTTTTCAGTCCTTCACAACTACATGAGTGTTCCTGATGGATGTCCAGTTGACTGCATGCATTGTATCCCTCAAGGTAGTTCATGTAACTATGTACATTTCAATGTTGCATTCTAAGGCATAATTACTTAGCTTTTTGGGAAATTGATTTTTGCAACAAAAATGCTTTAATTAAATTATAAAAACTTCCTTTAGTAAAACTGATTGAATATGATGCAATCCTATGCAATCAATTTAATTTTCATTTTGTTAATTGATGTAAACTTAACCTAATTGATAGCCATGAAGAATTAACGGTCATCAAAATTTGTTCTTGTTTTTATTAGACACGGGAAAGTAGATTCTAAGTGCAATTGTAGACTCCAAGAATAAAGACCTGGCATTCTTCATTGGTGCAGATGCACAGAGGACCATTAACGCCAAGCTGCAAGCAATTGCTGCTCCACACGACATGGAAAGGAAGCCCAGATCTCTTGAGTACATTAAACGGGGGAAAGGTAAATCCAGTGCAAATAGCAAAGATCATTATTATTATATGAAATGGAATTACATTCTCTCTTTCATTGTGTTTGCAAGTCAGTACAGGATTTTAAGAGTGCACTATATCATTCTAATTGACTGTGAACATGTGAAATTCACATATATGAACTGTGAATTATGGTGTGAAGTGGTAGTGGAACTAAAGCCTGAAAAAACATCAGGGTTGTACTGGAGCACTTACCTCTGTGATACTGGTGCAGTGCTCTCCTTGCTGAGCTAATAAGACATGTGAGAGATGGTCATTTTGTTAGTATTTTTTTTTCAGGCTTTATTTTCACTACTGCTTAAGCAGTGTTCATAATTGCGATGATCATTCTCATCTTCAAAATTCTAATTCTCATTCAATAATAGACCAGAAATGTAAAAGGTTAAGTCACATTAAAAAGAAAAGTAAACTATTCTTAATGTTAAACAGGTTCAATTTGAAACTGTTGACTGGTGCACATGACAGACAATTCTTACTTACAGCCACAGAGAAGCAGCATTTCCTGCTTTACTTTGGCCTTCCACTTCTAAAAGGCGTTTTAGATGGTGATCATTTCCCTCATCTTGCTTTTCTCACAACTGGATTGTGGATATTTTTGAAAAATGAGATTTCAAGGGAAGAGTTAGCCCTTGCTGGTGAAATAATGAGGTCCTTTTGCCGTCTCATGGAACCACTCTATGGTAATAATTTATCATCATACAATTAGTATTAATACAAGCATCACGAGGAACAGTTTCCTTTGTGGGATGCTTAGTGTTGTAGGAAAGGAAGTGAGAACCAAGTCTCTAATGGTAGCCTTCTTGGATTGTTTCCCCTCTTTATCTGTCTCCCTGTATGCAAATATTGGAACTTAGTACCAAGTAATATTGTGATAATAATGTGTGCATTGTCAGGCAATAGAAAATAAAATAAAAAACCATGAAAACCATGAAAAAAACCAAGTTGAGATATTCGTCAAAATGTTCCACACAATATTACAAAGCCTAGTATGGAGCCGCCATGTTGGAGGACCTCTTTAGTCCTCCAACATGGTGGCCAGTAAATAGTGTAAACATCTGGAACTTACTTTGGCCATCTAGTCGACTGATTATCTGAACCAAACCAAAAAATATTTACAAAAGCACATTTCCTGATACTTAAACTCCTAACATGGCTAAAAATCATGAGATAAGTGTATATTTTTTGGCAAATGCGCTTTTCGCGTTATGGCACGCACCGCCATAACTTCGAAATTCAAAAGGCGATAGTTTCCAAACAAAGGATGCTATTGAGCTGGAAAGTTGTAAACAAGTATAAATTTGGTACCTCTTATGCCTGATGAGGTTAAAACTTTTAGTGGCTCTCTAGTTTTGGATTTGAGAATTTGATGACATCACGTGCACACACTCTATGCCAAAATTTGTGTAAAAGAGAATGAAAACACAATGTTGAAACATGCACACTGCTAAGGGGGGAAGCTCAAGCAGACTACCAAGGTAGATACAAACCGGAAGTAAACCGAGTAGGCGTGAGTATACTTATGGGACTACCATGTCAGAGCTATCAATTGCACCTACAGTAGCACTGTCTGAGATTGTCTCACTGGTTTTTTGTGCTACATTTTCTGATATTGGTACTGCTAGGCTAGTGATGTTAATAAGATTGTCTGGTCAATGATGAAAAGTGTATTGTCTATAGGTGAGAGAAGTGAGACCATAAACGTTCACAGTATCACCCATTTAGAGGAACAAGTGAAATGTTTGGGACCATTATGGACCCATTCAGCATTTGCATTTGAAGCAATGATTGCACACACTCTAACGGGATTCAAGGGTACGAGAGGAGTGGCTGAACAGGTACATAATAGTAATAATCATTCATCTAGACGTATGACTGTGTTATAAGTGCAATCCAAGACAAGTTTTATATAATTAATGTACTAAACAAAGTAATATTTTTTGTCACATATTTTAGCATTTCACTTTTTTGTTAATTTTGCAACTTTGCAGATGATAACGAACTACCTAATTGACAAAGAGATTCATCCCTTACAGCAAGAACTTCAAGCTACTGTGATGACATCTCTCAGTGTCAAACAATTCTCAGCCAGTTTGTCTTTATCCAAACTCAGGTATGCAAAACATTTTACTTGAGATGACTTAAGAGCTGTAGCTGTACATGAGTGCAGTTCAGAGCTAAGTGATGTTAAAGACATGTGTGACACTTGTGTCACCTACAAGAGAAGTGAATATGCATCTTCACGTTGAAGATGTTTTTGTTGTCCTCTCAGTGTTTGTTTATTACTTTTGTGAAGCAGGAGCTCTTGAACAGCAAAATGTTTTCACAAAATTTGGCACTCTTGGCAATTGTTCCTTTAATTATTTCACATTGTCTCATGCTTAATTAGGTAGTACATGTAGTTCTGTAAATAATCAACTTGCACAAGAAATACCGAGGACTTTGTCAGGGTAAAATGTACAAGTACAAACAATAAACTAATGCAATAGACTGCTGTTACCTCGAGTTATGGCCTTAAATCATGATCCAAATTGAAGTCACTTAACATTAAGTTCATTGTACGTGTGTGTGAGGTTGTAAACGCACAGGAGACTAGGCCCACAATATTTAAACGAAATGTCACAAAACAAAACAATGTTTAACTTTTTAATGAGGAAGCACTAAATACTAGTAAACTTATCTTTAATTTGTGCTCATTCTTCAGTTAATGCTAATGGGCAAGCTGCAATCTTGCACAGAACTGTTGAGAAAATTGAACTTGAAAGCCTCTTTATGCAAGAACAGTAAAAAATGGGGTTACCCCCCCCAAAATTCAACATTGAATGCCGATGTTATCTGGTTTAATATTTTCTTTGCCAAAATTATCTTTTGAGAAAGGATGAGTACAAATAAACTAATGGAGGGGTAGGTTTCTAAAGAAACTGTGGTGCTGCATGGGTGGGAAGTATAACAATATAATTTGGTTTATCAACTGGGTTGATAATGTGAATTGGCCACCTTAAAGAGATTTGAAAGCTGACGTTTCGAATCTCTTTACGGTGGCCAATTCACATTATAAATTCAGTTGATAAAACCAAATTATCTTAAGTACAAATAAAGATTGTTGTTGTTTTAGGGAGGGGGGTGGATTTAATGTACATTTAGTAATACTGTCTATCTCTACATTTTAATGAAGGATGTTTGGATGCTCAGAACCCAATTTTTATTTCATCGAGATTGTAGGCTATATAGAAGGGCAAAATCCTGTGGAGTTCATGACATTATTGTAATTATTCTATTATTAGTCTAGACAACCCTTTAATTGGTTTCAAATATATCTCTGTTAGGTCAAAGTGGAATCAGGTGTCCAGTCATGTGGCATTTTCACAACCAGCATTACTACGAACTTTGTCTGATGATGAGGCTGCTGCTGTTACTGTGCTGTTTGCAGATAGTGGACTTCTGCCAATTGATGGATTAAAGGAATACAGTTTTGCAGAACGATTATCAGTAGATGGAACAGTGTACCACTCAGGCTTTGCGACTGGAATAAAAATTATAGAGGTTTGATCATGATCTGGGTGAGAACTTGATGAGGACTTCTCCAAGGTCTTCTGATAAATTATTTCCAAGATTTTGAATTATAACATAAGTGACACAAGATGTTCCAAGATTTTGGCATAATCCTTTCTTGATTATGCGTGCTTTCAATATACAGGATGCATTTACCAAGATTTTGTGTTCATCTCTTAAATGATGCATGATTTTGCTAAGGTCTTTCCAAGATTTTGTGAATTCAATGATGCATGTACGGTTGACATCAAAGATGGTATATTACATTCTTCTAAGTATGTCTCATTTTGGAGCTGAGCCTGAAACGTTCTCAAGGTGTTCTTGGGTTACATGGTGTTGTTTACTGTAATGTGGTAAACGTTGGTTGTCACAGCTTGTGCGGCTTTCTCTGATGCCAAGAACTATTCAAAATGATGCCGTGACAACCAACTCTTGGTAAATTTGGCTTTACAAAAGTTCACGACAAGACAACAAATGAGCAAAATAAAGATGTTTTAACTGATCGTCAATTTGAAAACTGACGTCAATTTGTTAACTTGATCATGCAAAATCATCTTCTGAAGGCCTTGCAAAGTCATTCAATTTAGTTGATGTACAATTTTGCCAGAATCTTGCTACGATCTTGCACTTTTCTTGTCAAGATTTTGTAAGGTACATGTACCTAAGATCTTGTCAAGGTCTTGCTAAGATTTCAAGCTGAACTTTTGAAAAAAACTGATACTGGATGCTATCAAGATCTTGTCAAGATCCTCATTGTGCATGGTCAAGATCTTGCACACATCAATTTGTTCAAGATGTATGCAGAATAGGATCTTCTCAATGTTTGTTGTGATTTCAACAAGATCTAGGTTTGCCAAGATCTTGCCAAGTGTTTGAGATCCTGCTGACATCTTGCTTCTGTCAATTGCCAAGATCTTGCAAACATCAATTTTTAAAGAGCCGTCAAGATCTTGTCACGATCTCGCCAAGATTTCATACCCAACTTTTGAAAACAAATGA